ATGAAATGCAAATGGTGCTTAGAGGATCTCCTGCTTGGGATTAGCTGCCTTGCCCTGGGTTGCCATGCGTGTTTCCAAGTTGGCTGCACATGCAAACTTAAAGATAAGTACAAAACAAATTTAACAGCACACTTCTCCCCTGGCTACACACCCTGCATTACACAGATAGCAAAACCCACTGGCACAGTCTTCCTCACAGCTGATTCACACGGATAATTTTTGCTCCCCAAGCCAGAGTTTAGAACAATATGCTGGAACCTGTGGATATCTGTCTGAATTTTGCATGTGAACTTCTGTGTGCAACTAAAATCAGTGTTTTTCAAATTAAAATATACCTCAGAGGCAATGGACTCCAGACTGTTGGTTAATAAAATTGAGAGAGGCCGAAAGGTGTGTGAAGCTCGACGCCATTTGCAATAAACATGAGAGCTGGTTCCAGCGGTCTCCGTTTCCACCCGCTTCGCTGCTCTCCCTGTTTCAGAGATGATCATAGATTCTTGACTCCAAGAGGAAAAATAATAAAACAGACATTTACTCTCTTAAGACTGAAATGTGTGCTTTTCTCCTCTACCAGACTCGGGACAGGAATCAGAAAGCAGCATAGAAGAGAATGGTTTAAAAAATTAAAAGGGACTTGCATTAGGGAAGGAGGGTTCTATTCCTGTTTTGGAAGTCACAGGAAAACACCACGATCCTGTTAGTACCTGGAAAGCACCATTTACAATGTGCCATCTCCTTCACTGAAAGGGGACATGGATTGTATTTTCAGTGCAGTAAACAGCAGATCCTACTGTGGGAATCCTTGCAGTGGGTACCTATAGCAACCTCGTTTAAAATCTTTAAAGCTTGACAACATCAGGAGTTTAATGCAGTCCGTCATACACACCTCCCAGCATCCCCCCAGCCACTCCCACACGCGCGTGCCCACGCGATGGTGGGTAGTATGTAAGTCATAATACCTGCCGGAGTCTGACCATTGAATCCTGTTTCACAACCAAGACAAAGAGGGGTGAAAAAAATTAAAACGACAGCTCTTCAGCCAGCAGCAAGAGCATGTTGGTGCCTAAGCAGTGTATTCACAGCACATGGTAAGCAACCACCTGAGAGTTCATGGAGAGAACACTGTTATTCACCCCTGGAGTATTTGATGGACATGTTCGAGTTCCTGTTTGGAAGAGACATTTTCAGTGCCACCCACCCTGTGCTCCTGGCACTCACCTTCGCATATCAAAGACCAAAGACAGCTACTGCAAAAACCTGGCACTCCTTTCTTTTTTTTAATTGAAATCCGTTTACAATGTTGTGTTAATTTCTTGTGTTTAGCATGGTGATTCACACACACACACACAAACATTGCTTTCCATATTCTTTTTCATTAATAGGCCATTATGAGGTATTGAGTATAGTTCCCTGTCCTGTACAGTAAGACCCTGCTATCTATCTATTTTACATATAGTAGTGTGTATCTGCAAACCCCAAACTCCTAATTTATCCATCTCCCCCCTTTCCCCTTTGGTAACTATAAGTTTTTTTCTATGTCTGTGAGTCTGTTTCTGTTTTGTAAATAAGTTCATTTATGTCTCTTTTTTTAGATTCCACATATAAGTGATATCATATGGTATTTTTCATTCTCCTTCTGGCTTACGTCACTTAGTATGACAATCCCTTGGGTCCATTCATGTTGTTTCAAATGGCATTATTTTATTCTTTTTTATGGCTGAGTAGTATTCC